TCAATATAGCGTAGGTAGAGAAGGGGCATGAGTGGATAGGAGCTGAGGAAGCGTTGTTCCAGGTCAGCCATAAAAATGTTGGCATATTGTGGGGCCATGCGGGTGCCCATAGCGGTGTCACTGGTCTGGAGGTATATATTGTCACCAAATTTGAAATAATTGTGAGTGAGGATAGAGCAGGACATTTTCCTCCCGGTCCTCTGTCCTAAGCCCCATTCCTCTAATGAGGACCGACGCCTGCACATGCTAGATGTGCGCAGAGCGCTGGCCTTTTACCTGGACAGAACCAGGCCATTTCGGAAATCCCCTCAGCTGTTTATTGCATTGGCTGAGCGCATGAGGGGGTGACCGGTTTCCACCCAGCGGATTTCCCGCTGGATCACCTCGTGCATACGCACGTGTTACGACCTGTCAGGGGTTCCCCCGCTGCCTATAGTGAAGGCTCATTCGACGAGAGCTCAGGCCTCGTCAGCTGCCTATGTGGCTCATGTCCCTATTCAGGACATCTGCAGGGCTGCTACTTGGTCCTCTGTTCACACCTTTGCTTTGCATTATGCGATCGTCTCCCAAATGTGGGATGACGCCAGGTTTGGTAGGGGGGTGCTCCGCCCGGGTAACCCTTAAAATCCTCCCACCTCCGTCAGCTTGGAGTCACCTACTATGGAATACACATGAGCAATAACTTGAAGAAGAAAGGACAGTTACCTGTTCTTTAACTGGCATTCTTCGAGATGTGTTGCTCAGGTGTATTCCACATCCCGCCCTCCTTCCCCTCTGTCGGAGTTGTCTGGCAAGAAGGAACTGAGGGTGGGGGGAGCACGCACCCCCCCCGTATGGCGCGATATACAGGCGCCACTCCAGGGGTCGCAGCGGTGCTCCCCCACTACGGGTACTGCTAAGGGAAAAACTTCCGGCACCAGTGCATGTGGCGAGCACGCACACCTACTGTGGAATACACCTGAGCAACACATCTCAAAGAACGCCAGTTACGGAACAGGTAACTGTTCTTTATCCTGGCAACAGCATTCTGCATCATCTGTAATCTATACAATCACAAAGTTTAGCCTTAAAGTGTCAAGATCAGAGGATAAAAAGAGGTATGATACATTTTTAGGTGTGGAGTGTGATGGAAAACAGTTTCATTCTGAGGATTAAGTCCATAATTTGACAGTCAGAGAAACCACAATAGATAACAGTGTAAATATTCTTTGAATTAACTCAACAGCAAAAATT